AACATGCTCAAACGGCTGATTTTGGCTTCTTCGCTAATATATTTATTCTACTGACGATATTAAGATTTTGAGATTATTGTGCCTGATCCTTTTAATGACGGCTGAGAATAATTTACTAGAACGGAATAGAGCAGAACATTAATCGAATAGTAGAAATAAAGCCGAATACTTGTACCAGAAGGAGGCGGTCGACCACTGACCGTCTCTGGCAATTTGCCAAACAGCTTATCGATTTTTCACCAACTTCGCTCCAATGCGAAAGTGGTGAACGGCAATTAGATTTCGTAGCCAGGCTAGCGAGGGGTGGAGGGCGACCGTGACTCACTCTCCGATCCCTTATTGTGCCCTATCCAGATCGTTTTCCGACCTCATTCCTGCACAATTGGTATCAGAAGGGGCGTCGAATACAAACCATGTGCAAATCTCCGAAACCATAAATAAGAAATCACGAAATAAAAACAGATCAACGTGATCGCCTTCATCGCTCATTCTGAGGGTAATGAAAATGAACATCCCCCTTGTTCAGGCAAAGATTTTGGGAGACGGGCAGTAGGATTGTTTTTTATGTAGTCGATTCGCCGTTACTACAGCTCTAGCGTTCTTCATTCGGCCCAATCGATATAATATCATTATTTTGAGCATAATTCTAGTGTTAGCTCTTTTGTTTCTGTTTTTCTTACCCGCTGCTGCATTCTGCCACAATCCTTAGCGCGCGGCGATTTCGATTCTACTGCAGCACACCCAAAAATTTTGGTCATTGTTATTTCAACGGCAATTTTTCAGTATTATTAATAAAATCAGAATCTGGGCCTTATCAATACTCTCTCGACCATCGATGATGGCTAAGTTTCATTTGTTCGTCTGACCCTTCGATGTAAATGCGCATTAAGACGGGGTGCGTCTGTGTGACGACGCCTTTGGGTGCCATTGCCTCGGTAAAGAGCTCTTCCTTGGCCTGCTAAATTTAGCAGTATCTGCCTATCTAGCAATCTAAACCTTCAATCACATCAGCTTCAGAACGATGTGCAGAATGATCGTTTGTTTATCGAATACACACAAACGTGGATTTGTAAGATTAAAGGAAATTCTGAAATACGAAACCATTATCATTATCTTGAAGCTTCTAATACCAAGAAACAGCCTCAGCCAAGTCCAAGTTTCCAAATATTATGCCTAATAGTCAAGCACATTTTTCGTGACTGGCAACCCTGACTCTTGGCAGGCTTTTTCTGAAGCGATTCTCGAACTTTTGCGACTAAGACTGTAGAAAAAGGTATCCAGAGAGATGCCCGGATTGTATGCAAGTACTGGAGGGCCATGTTCACCGCAGCTGTTCCAACATGAAATAAGCCCAATAAGCTCGAATGTTTTGAGCTCTCTCGATTCTTACAATTTAAAATGCTCTAATTTTCAGATGTTGTACGACGATTTGCGGTTACAACGCTTGTCTAGTGAAGTACAATGGAAAATGGATGGTGGGCTAAAAGCAAGCGCCTACTTGGGAGATTCATCGCCATGGCCATTACGAGTTCTGTGGTTTCATTTGTCTGTACATAACACGAGAAAAGATTTCAGAATATTTTCACCATAACATTTGCCGTACTTCAACCCTCTTGACTTCGTTCATACACCTCGTAATCTTCGATAGCATATATCGATAGCTAAAATGGCTCAATAAATATTTCTTTATCCAACGATTACGCTCTTCAAACTATTCTGCATATGGATAGGAAATTAAAGCATATGACTAGTTTTGATGAGAACAAGAACGGCAGTTCTTTTTGTGGGTTGACAAATTCGATATGAAGGTAGTACCGGTACAGAGCAATGGGACAGGAGTATCCATTAGTTGGCACATCATGTAGATTTGGCTCCAGGGAGGCCATTAAAAGAGCGAATCGGATAAAGATAAGGAACGAGCGTGTGAATCAAATTTGGGGCTAGAAATTGAAAATCGGAAGCCCGCTCGTTCCTCCATTTATGTGTTGTCTCAGGAAACATCTTAAACAGACGTTACATATAAGGCGAATACTGAGTATGGACATTTTTTGAAATAGAAAAGAAGACGCTAGCTTGAGCCTTTGAACAAAGTGAGTCTGGGGCGTATTTATGCCAAAAATAGTATTCAAATACCGGGGATAATGACAACGGGATGTTAGCATCAATATCAATAGGACCCTATAGTAGATCTTTGAAGAGGAAACCCGTTTAAAATAGAGGGAAAAATATAGACATCTGAGGCAGTTGTGGGAAAGGGAAAAGCAATGTGGGCAATTGTGACGGTATCACACCGCTAATGGAACGCCTTCGCGTTTGCTGGCCTCCTGAATTGTGTCGCCACCGTTCGGCTCTGCCACATCGGTACTGGGACTCGTTATAGTGACGACGGTACGACGAGGTTTGACCTTAGAGTAACTGAAATAGAGTTGTTGTGTACATGTGCGTGAACGATACAACATGGGAAAATGTGTCAGTGAGTCAATGAGTGAGTGAATCTTCGGAAAAGAAAAAACAGTCGGAAAGCTGAAAAGGCTTGTATATCTTGGACTGAAGGGCAGCGGGTAATGGAACTTCTCCCGGATTGCGGCATTCTCCCTTGTGGCATGCGGCAAATGTCACTGCAATTACCGTACTCACCCCGCCCTCCGCCAATCGATGTGACGCAATATTTTCCGTTGGTTGTCTTTCTTTTTTATTGGTTTTGATCGTTTTTTATCTTTCTTTTTCTTGTTTTTATGTATATTAGACTTGTTTAATTAGAATGACTCCTCCTATATTAGCGACGATCAATACCGCATTGGAATTGAAGGGAGTGGCCAGCCAATNCAAATAATTAAAGGACTCCCTACCTCACAAATTGCGCGCCCCAATCTTCCATCGCAATCCTGCGATACGCGGCGGGAACGGCGTGCGCGACGCCGTCTTCGGGGAAATGTTCCCGGACCCAAGGGCAGCCAGGTACGGTTAACTATAAAAGTAAGTGCTCCTATGGAATCGCTTAATCGCTGAACAGGAGTCAACCTCCGATTTATCGTCTCAGGCGAAAAACAGGATTCTCTACACTGCTCACAAGTTCCATAGATTACGCCCCTCTAACAATGGTCCGGAGCAGAAACATCGATTGAATTTGAAAAAGCTTTCAGAATGGCAAAAAAGCTCACTAATACAACATTGGTTCCATGTAGAAGATACAGGATGTGTTTGGGCCCAGTGTTTATGGCCCAAGAGATCTAGAGAGGTTGTCCTTCGAAGAATCAAATAATCCCGAGAGCATCGTTGGCTATAACATTTTTGTGCCTCATTCGGTCTATAGTGTAGAAAGATTTGTGTGGAATGGTACGTGACGGTTGTGAAGAGAACGAGAAAATTCGTAAAAGTCTTAAGTTACAGAGCCTCACTACAATTTGTTATTTCCAGGGTTTCGAGTACGATATTACGACCAATGGGATGTCTTCACAAGATTTCAGCTGCAGTAGAACTACTTTTTAGCTCCTCTTTGGATTTTTTCAGTGTTCGAATTATATCAGCCTCTACAAGGCCGCTGAGCATGTCCTCTGTCGTAAATGTGACTGAGCGTAAGGATGGTTTTACTTGAGACTTACTCGCGCCCCGACTAGCCCCCTATTCAACCCTACGGTGCCATGTGGCCATCTCCTGTGGCCGCATGAATCTTTGAAACCAATCTCGTTGAGACAGAAAATTTGGGTCACTATTGATTAATATTCCCCCGGAAGCTGTGTCTGAAAGAAAGAGCTTCCAATCGAACGGAAATAGTGCAAGTGTTCAGAGCAATAACCGGATGCTCAGTGTTCAAACAGCGGTAACATAAATCGTTTCAGAATAAACATACGTTGCCGTAGTTGCCGACGGTGACTGAGGAGGCATTGTTTTAGACTCAGAAAGCGATCTATTCGTTGATCCAGTACGATTCAAACGAAAACTGCCGCCCGTGCTTCTGAATACATTCGCCGTCAGTGTGAAGTCAATCGAAAACTGACGGCCTACCTGTGCGAAAGTATCCGTCCAAGTCGTTGGTGATTCTGCCCTTCTGTACTGCTACCGCTGTCATGCCGTTTTCGACGGATTGACTGCGCCCTGAAGTCTCGTCGAACATAATTATGTATGTTTGAAATCCTAACCCTCAGATTGCCTACCTGGCGAAGGTAAGCAGACTTGAGTCCTCGTCTATAAGATTCTCTGGATGTTGAGACAGATAGCGTTTCCATAGGGCATCTGTAATCTCCGTACAGAACATCACGCCTGCGTGTAAGGCGATCATTCGTAACACCAAGACACCGTCGACCTGAACGATAGACAAGCTGGAGGCTACAAACAAAAGAAGCACACCTATCCAGGTATTATCGTCTTTTCTGGTTTGAAAGAATGACCATAACCATATGTTTTGCTCACTTTCAGATAAGTCCTAAGAAAATGCTCCACTTGCTTCCGTTTTTCTTTCCGAAAGAGCTCCGGTTTGTCTGGATCAGATGTCAGCTCAAGATGTCTCAACACAAAACGAAATCGATCTCTGAAATAGTGATTTCTGATTTTTTTCGAACATTTTTCTTCTTCCATCTTTCATTCAGCGAGATGAGCAGCACTGAATAGCATCCTCTAACTTATTCCACTCCTTTCCGCTTATGCCAACTATGATCTGACCAATTCTTTCCCCGTT